ACCTACAAATGCCTAGAGAAGTCTTCTCTGGAAATCTCTAGATGCCAATGGACCTACAAATGCCTCGAGAATGTTCTCCAAAAACCTCTAGGTCCTCCGGTGCAAATTCGTGCAAAAGAGTCACACTGGGGGACCTAGCGATTCCTTGCTTTCATTGTTTGCCTTCAAGTCATTTCCAATATATGGCGACCCTTGGGGGAACATATAACGGAGGTGTCTAGATGCTGGAGAAGCTACAAATACCTGGAGAAGTGTTCTCCAGAAACCTCTAGGTCCTCCAGTGCAGATTCTTTGCCACTGCCTTCTACTGAGGCTGAGAAAGTGTGACTTGCCCAATGTCACCCAGTGGGTTTCATGGCCGAGCTGGGAATCGAAGCCTGGTCTCCAGAGTCGAAGTCCAACACTCAAACCAGTGCACCACGCTGCCACTCCAGAGGGATTATATGGGGAGATTTATCTTTCAGATCCACCAAATGGGATGACTCCCCAGTAAGTGAGCAACGGCACAGATCTCAATTTGTTTCTTGTTTATTTTCTTCCCCATTTGAGCTGGCTTTTCCAGACTATGGTATGGAAAATAACAGGAAGGAGCAAACACATCAGAGTGCAGTCACTGTTCCTACCTTAGCCATCCTTCACAAAACTTGGAAACATATTTTTTTTCCTTTTCCTTACAAACGAAAAACAATAAACAAGACCAGAGCTTGGAAACGGAGACGTTTGGATCATAACTCCCAGAATCCTCACCCAGATGGCCACTGCCCATGATGGCTGGGGGATTCTGAGTGCTGTAGTCTATCCAAAGGAATGAACTTTTCCAAAGTCTGGGAAGAGGAAGACCATAAATGGACTCTCAGTATTCTGGTTTTCCCTGCAGTCTGTGCCCTAGTGGTGCAGTGGTTGGAGTGTTGGACTACGACTCTGAAGAACAAGGTTCGAATTTCAGTTCAGTCATGGAAACCCACTGGGTGACCTTGGGCAAGTCACACACTCTCAGCCTCAGAGGATAATGACAAATCCCCACTGAAGAAACGTGCCAAGAAAACCCCATGAGTCAGAAATGACTTGAAGGCACACAACAA